CATTATTGATGTTCACTATATACTGATTAACACACAAACTAGCAAGCAGACTGAGATGCAGCCGGACTGAACAGATGCTCTCATTCTCACTTCGTCCACTCATTGACGATAGAGTAAGTGTTGATGTGTGTGTGTGTGTGTGTTCCAGGATCCACGTGCAGCGTTCTGTCTGCGATGCCGTCGGACTCGGAGAGCAGCAGTTCTCTCAGCAGCGTTGGTGAGTCCTGTGTGTGTTTGTTAGTCATGGCTATTTTCAGCATTTTGTCTTACAAATGAATCATATTGCATCTTGGGTCTTTTTTTTTTAGGAGGGGAAAAAAGTGCTTAAAATTATTTCCTAAAAATAATGTAAAAAATCTTAATGCTCCTAAAATAGGCTTAATTTGTCTTGTAAAGCTATATTATAATTATAATTTTGAACAATATTTTCATCTTTTGATTTTTGATGTTTTAATAGCTTTGGAATCTGTCATGACTTCAAAAATCAGTAACAAACTTTCAAATTATTTTGTTTAAAATAGCAAAGGACTTTTATATAATTTTCTGAATCAGATTTATAAGTTTACACTAAAGTTCAAAAGTGGGGTCAGTGATAATAAATACATTTATTAAAAGTAACAAATACATTTATTTCACAAAAATGCTGTTCTTTTTAACTTTCTGTTCATCAAAGAATCCTGAAAAATAAAATGTATCACAGTTTCCTCAAAAATATGAAGCAGCACAACTGTTTTCAACATTGATAATAATCATAAATGTTTTTGAGCATCAGATCATCATATTAGAGTGATTTCTGAAGGATCATGTGACACTGAAGACTGGAGTAATGATGCTGAAAATACAGCTTTGATCACAGGAATAAATTATACTTTACTATATATTCACATAGAAAACAGCCGTTTTACATTGTAATAATATTTCACAATATTACTGTATTTTTTAATCGATAAATGCAGCGTTGAGGCAGCAGAAGAGACTATTTTTAAAAAACATTATTTTAATGACACCAAACTTTTGAACGCTAACTTTTGTTTTTCAATTCTACACTTATTCCTGACATCCCGCTGGTGCAAAACCCTTCTGGGACTCGCTGGGAAAACACAGAGCAAACTCAGACACCAGCTGGAGACGCTTCTGTCCATTAGACGTCTAGAACGAGACAGACGGCTCTGTTGTTTTCTGCAGTGAGGGATATGGGATGGGTCGTCAGTGGCCCAGATAAAATCATTGTTTATTCATAACATCTGTATGAACAGCAGAGCTGACTCTCAAACTGAAAGCAAAATTGCTAATGCTCTTTTTACACACACACTGAACAACATGAAGCATTGCTTGGTCACTGGTTGAGCTAAACTGGTATTATCTAATTGTGTAGTTAAATTTAACAGCTGACAGATATTCAACATAATTCATGTGTGAGAGTCTAACAGAAGGACGGACAAAACCAGTCAAATATCCACTGATTTAATAACTCTGAGTTCTTGTCGTGTTTTATTCCCATTTTCTAAACTATAGTGAATTAACTCGGATAATGTGAGAAATGTTGAAGGTGTCTGAATACATTTTGGTTTGACTGTACGTGTGGCGCTAATTTACCTCTTTAATACTGATACTACGTGTGCTAATAATTTATTTTCTATGTCTGTCTATCCCAGCATCCTCACCCCCTCCTGCACACCCGGAGAAGCATGTGATGAGTGAGAAACTGGAGACGGTGATCTTCCAACTCCGACAGGTGACCCGTGAACGAGACGACCTGCGCAAAAGACTGGCCCTCTCCTCACCCGGCACCACCTTTGACGACTGCAGGTACAGTGAGACATCTAATGCCGTGGGTCGGGCAACTGTAAAAGAGATCGAACAGGGTGATTGCTACTGACCTGGAGATTTCAGATCCAGTTTCAGTCTCTAGAACACAGTAACCCCGAAAGACAGTTCGTCTTTTCTCATCCGTATGCGAGCGTGAGATGGACAGAGTGCTTTATGTGTATAAATAAAGTATGTCTACTTTCATTACTATTTCATAAATAAGGCTTTTTGCTCCGTTTTTGTGTTTTTCTTCACCTGAATGCTGATAGACGTTGAAAAAACACACACTGAGGTTTTCTGTGCACGTGGTGTGTGTGATCTCACTGAAACAGCCCAATCAGACCTGTATGACAAATAATGCATGATTACTCAAATCATTTCACACAGTGTTGACGTCTGTGTGTCTGTAGACCGAGTGTGAAGCCGGGTCACGATTACGAGCGTCTGAAGCTTCAGTGCATGAAGGCCATGTCAGATCTACAGTCTCTCCAGAACCAGCACACCAAAACCCTGAAGAGATGTGAAGAGGCCGTGAGAGACGCCGATTACTACCAGTGAGATCTACACCCATATATTTGCCCCAAAGAGTTGATTTTCAAGGGCTTTTTTTTTTTACCTTTTATGAGTGCAATATAGTTCAAACCACATAAACTTGAGCTGCACGATTCTGGTTAAATTCAGAATCACAATTTTATTTTGTTTCAAACAGAGATTCTCCCACGATTCTGAACAGACGACTAATAAACTAAATAATTTATGACAAAATGTTAGTTGCTGCAGTCTATTTAAAATGTTTAATTGATCTGAATGAATTATAAAATATAAAAAAAAATGGGTTGAATGAATGATTCAATGACTCACTCATAAACACTTCACTTGTTTCATTACTGGATGAATCAGCGATTTTGAACGAATTTCTTGAATGAATGATTCCATGACTAATAATAAATATAAGTCACTTGTCTCCTCCTGGTGGCGTAACGATACAATCATTATTTAATAGACACAGGTGAGGCGTTGTCATTTAGGAATGATATCGCGTAGGTGTTTGTATCGAGATCGCCATCTTTTAATGATTAATCGTGCAGCTAATATATACTTTTAATTTAATTCATTTAATTTTTTTAATTTGACAAATAAACAGAACATGTCTAGTGGTCTACCGATATATCGGCCAATATTTGATATTTTTGTTCTAAACATATATAATTAGAATTTAATTAATTATTATTTTATTTTTTTATTTTTTTATTAACAGACAGGCATACAGACCATAGTGCATTAACAAACAATATAGTAATTCCATAATTCCAGAAGTGAAAATAACAGTGTGTGCGTGTGTATGTGCATAAGCAAAATAACCATTTATTATTTATTACCATCATGATTACCATCATCACCACCACTCCTCACTACCAACATACTACCAACATTGTATTAGTCAATTTTTATTCTTATTTCCATCTTTCCTCCTATGTAACAATTACCATTGTCAGCACTCTTCAAAAATAAAATATACTTTAATAAGATAATATAAGATAACCCTCCCTTTGATAAATTTATTATTTTTAATCTTAATCAATTACTTCATTTTAAAAATTCGATTTGAAAACTCAGCAGTGTGACAGCAGGATGTGCTCATTAGAGTGATGCGGAAGGCTTTGATTGGCTGCTGTGAGTCAAGGCAACATCTGGTGCTAAAGCAAACACACAGCACAGATTAGAGATTTTCATCTGAGATTACCCCAATAATTTAGTTTAATTCATTTTCCCTTTAATATTATCTTACATTTCTGATTTGGTGAATTGAATTGTGTTTTTGTGCATGTGCAAATGCAAGCCAAACATTTACAGGGCGGCCGGTTAGTGTATACATGTGATTTAGGATTTACTTTGAAACCATTTTCACTCAGGAATTGCTTGTAAATTTCAGAAATTATTACAAAGACGTGGCTTGTAACAAATTGAATTAAACGTGAAATTTTGAAGTAGAAAAACTGAAATAGTGAGAACGTACTCCCAATAATCTTTGTTTTATTTGCAACTTTGAAAAACCTTTTTATTTTATTTATAACAGTTTTTATACAAACACAACAAATCAAAGTGTCTTAAAATGTATACAATAAGCATGTTATACATAAAATAAACAAACAAAGGAAGAAATAAAGGACCCCCCACCCCAACCCGCACCTACAGTGAAAAATATACACCTTAAAGCCATACTTGATCAAACTTAAACAAAACATTAACAATGGAGTGAAGGGATAAAAGAGTGAAGTTATACATATTACATATGTGCCCAAACATATTTCATGAGAAATCATTATTTACAGTGTGTTGTGAACCCAAGACCTAGTGCAATGAAAGTCTTAAAGTCCATTGTCTTCATTTTATCTGGTGCGTTTAACTGCCAGATAAAATAAACATTAACATTCAATTTGTTGTTCTGTTCACCGATGCGTCGGTTGAAGTTAATGTCCAGGTGGATCAGTAACGCATGCGTCTCTCTCGGTCTCTCAGTACTCTTCACGGACGTGTGGTTGGTGAACAGACTCATCTGCGGGACGAGATGGAGGCGGTGAAGCAGAACTACTCGCAGCTCATACAGCAACACTCGCAGCTGCAGCAAACCTGTGACGAACTGCACCGGATACACGACAGCGACCAGAGAGAGGCTTCAGACATGCGCCTGCTGCAGCAACAGGTGCTAATCACACATGCACACACAACTCTCAGGATAGTCAATCATTTATATGCATCTATATGTAGCCCCGCCCCTTTTCAGCGCTGCGCTCGTTGTCTTTTGTCTTCCGGGCGGTATTTTCACAGCGATCTTGCCTATTTATGAATGAACGGCTCGTTTTACAATATTACATTACAATCCTCATGATAACTTTCGTTAACTTTACATTAAGTAAATCCACTTCAAAAGCGAATCACTCCTGGACCGCGACGCCATAGAGATATACAGAGCGACCGCAGAAACGGAAGTTCATAGACAATATTGTGAAGATGCTGCGCTCTTGTTTCTCTGCTGCATAAGCTCTATAGAACTAAACTGTAATATAGTAATAAATAGTGATATATTTAAATAAATACAAATTGCATACAGAGACTTACATGAACATGGCACCAATGTTATGCAATAGCTTGCCAATGGAGATTAGATTTAGGCCACGTCCACACGAAGC